ATTTTGAATTGCATGACTGAAAACCAGCAATTCATAACTTTTACCTTTGATGACCAAATAGCTTGAATATTTTCTTTAGCTACTTCTTTCAAAATTGAAATTTGCATACATCTTGTGGTATTTTTTGGCTTGCTTTTTTTCAGCCTCATCCGGGGACATTATGAAGTGCGTTCATCTGTTTGCTGTTGTTTTTCTCTCGATGTTCCTCGTGGAATGCATCCGTGCAGCGCCACACGGACAAGGAACCAATGACTTGGAACCTTTATTCCGTGATGATGCTTTTGTTCTCAACGAGAGCAATGACGAACGAGAGGTCGGTTGTATTGATATTATCAGTAAATATTTCAAGGCCCTGTTCACACTACGCCGGAGAAATTTGAAATTTTACAGTTAATAGGCCTATCGTCCATACTAATCCGTCACGAAAACGGAGCTTTTCGAAAACGCTCTTCAAACCGGAGGGATTTGAAAACGCGGCTTCGTGCAACCTCGTTCCCAGGATCTCTCATCTTACCGCCCCCTGGAGGGGACGGTAAGATGAGGGGCATTTTGAAAACGGAACTCTTTGATAAATGACCTCCACTCCTATCTCCTATCTCAGGTTTCCCACTGAAAAGAATACTGCTTTTGATTGTTCTCGAACTTTTTTGTTTTTTATCTCAAATTTGTATTGTCACGACCGACTTCCTTCGCGTTCAACCATTACAAATGTTTCGTGGATGCGTCCAAAAACCTTAGTGAAACTTTTGTACTGTTTTGTTATCATTTTCCTTGTTTAGGATTATAAAAGATTTGAAAGGTACTGTAAAGGTGAAAGAGGCTCTTGTTGGACCACTAAGGACTGTTGCGATGATCTGGGGTGGTGAGTTTGAGTATTTTACTTTTGTTTCGTTTTTCATGTCGCATTTCTCCCGATTAGAATTTTTCGTTTCTCCTTGGTTTGATGCAAAAAATGGTGTAAGGAAGTAGACATGAATATCAAAAAAAAAATAAAAAAAATTAAATAACTAAACAAACAAACCAAAACACTAGCTAACTAAAGTTACATACGGACAACTGGAGCATGCTTTCCGGGACGTTTTCGGCCTTGCATTTTTTTGTTTTGACAGTAGATCAAATTCGAGGTTAACTAATTCAAGACTATCCAAAATCGAATGAACCCTTGACTTGACTTGAACCCTGTTCGCAAGAAAGAGTCAGTGGCCGGGCTTACACTTTCTAACTTAGTATAAATGTGTGCTAAATAGAGTGTTAATTTTTGACAGTGTATTGTGTTATTCAGGATGGCCTCCGTGTTCAATCAAAAGGTTTACTCACAAATCTTTTGCAAAACAACAGAAATTTTGAACTAAAGAGACAAGTTTACCAGCTCTCTTCCTCCGGCTGACTACTATTCCTTTTACATTCTGCTTTGTCCCTTCTACTTTGAATTAATGGGCAATGTTCTGCATTTCTTTTTCAGTCTCCCGCCCATCGGAGCATTTGGGGGTGATGGGACATGCGTGAAAAAGAGCGATTATCCAAACCGTCGATGGTAATGGATCATGCCGCTACTGACCTGAGAAAATCCTGCATTTAATGTTTTGAATAAATTCAATTAACATAGACCATCATTTCTGTATGCACTGTTTAGAATAAAAGTTGGAAAGCAGAGCCGAGTCCGACAGAATTTCCTTAAGTTTTTCGATCTAATTGTAATCCCAGAATCCCATTCAAGCGGGTGAGCGATTATTTGCTAACTGCAAACTGTCCAAATGAATTATGAAAAACTTTAATGTTCACAAGATCAAAGAAACGACATTATTAAATGCTTTTGATAATTTGGTCGGACAGAGGAAATGAGTAAGGCC